ACGGGACCCTAAACCCTAAACCCTCGTGTACGCTAAGTAGTACCCCTGAAGCCCAGCCTCAACACTGAAGCGCCCTAAACCTTGATCTCGAACCCTGATTGAGGGTTTAGGGTGAGGCGCCTGAACGATTGTGGCCATGGTTTTGTAGGTTTTTTAAAAGGTTTCGTATGGGCTTTATGTCGTTCTGCAAGGTGTTATTGAAGGAGCCTTGATAATGATTATGATGGTTTTGGGCCTCAATATATTTATATCGGGACTACCAGGGAGTACTACTCTTACGGGTTTGCCGGGTGATACTATTGCTGCCGCTTGCTGGCGAACCCTGAACCCCAAACCCTAAACCTTAAGCTTTACAGCTTAAGCCCGAAACCCTAAATCTCAAACCCTACACCCGAAACCCTGAACCTTGAACCCTGAACCCTAAACCCTGAACCCTAAACCCTAAACCCTGAACCCTGAACCCTGAACCCTGAACCCTGAACCCAAAGCCTTCGACCCTAGACCCTGAAACCCTCAACCCTGGGTTTAGGGTTTTGGGTTGATTATCGGGTCCTTAAGGGACTTAAGGGAGGGTGGTTCAAGCGGGGAGGGTCCTAGGGATCCTTAGGGAGCTTTAGGGAACCTAAGGGAGCCCTAGGGAGAATTGGGGATTATTGGGTTCAATACCCCCCTTGGAACCCCCTCCCTTAAGGATTCCATAAGTTTAGGGTTTAGGAAACTCTAGACCCTAAGCCCTAAACTTGAAGCCCCTAGCCTTAGCCCAATCAGAGGAGGTTTCCGAAAATTAGGGTAGCTTATTTTGGGGCCCTTATAATAGGGATCCTGCTATTTAGGGTATTATATTAGGGTCCCCTATTGTCTGAAACCCCCAAGTGGGTTTCGTGTGTAAGGTTTACCTGGGGCCCTGAAGACCTACGTACCTTTTTGTTTGTAGGAACTTTACATATAGAACACAGAATCAGGAACCCTACGAAGCGAGGTTTTTTCGGCTATGGGTAGTGTTTTGGATTCGGTGTTTAGGGGCTAGTGTTTAGGGCACAGGGTCTAGTTAAGCGTTTAGGGGATAGGGTTTAGGGGTCGTATGGAGTTCTTATTGAGTGGCTTCCTTCTTATGGTCATTCCAAGATTTACCCCCAAACCTCTTTTGTCCGATTAATGTATTCAAGAGTATGTATGTATGTGTATATATACACACATATGAAAACCGCATGAATTACCGATATTTATCTATGTTTTATATATCTGTTTGTATATATATATATATATGTTATATCTATATATATATATATATAATATGTATATACATACATACAGATGTTGCCCAAATCGTAAGCAGCTTCTATCGGATCCTGGGGTGGTTCAGAATCCCACAAGGACGTTGCATTCGCAAGCTGAGAACGGATGCAGGGCTTTGCGCAAGAGCACCATCGAACATCAAGCTGCGTAGAGGTTTAGGGTTTAGGGTGCTGTTTAGTTTCCTGATACCTACAAGCACTAAACCCAAAAAGCCCTAAACCACTAAACCCCCTAAGCCCTAACCCCTTAGCCCAAACCCTATTGCCCTTAACTACAAGCCTGAACCCTGCCGTGGCAACTCAGGATTGACCGCCAATTGCTTCCAATTCCTTACCCGAGTTTCCTGAGTACTGCGGTGGTGGAAAGGTGGGTTTTTTTATGAAAAGCTGGATGTCCCTGTCTTCGTGCCTAAATATGGGAGTTTCCGAAAATTAGGGGTATCTTATTTTGGGGTTCTTATAATAAGGATCCTATTATTTAGGGTACTATATTAGGGTCCCCTATTTTCGGACACCCCCATATCCGTACTAGACGAGCCGCAATGGTCCTGAACGGAAGGTCTTTGAGGCATGAAAGAGGAACGTTGGGCCTGACACCCTCACCCTAAAGTTAGGTCTCAGTGGGAGCAGCTCGTGGGCGCTATTGCAGATGGCATCAATACCCAGTGGAGCGTTTGTCGATGTTCGAGCCTCTTTTCTGCGTATGGTCTAATCTGGCTGCTTGGCCGCTTAATGTGCATCATGGGCCCAATCAAGCAGGAGGTGCAAGACTTCAAGCATAAGTACGAGTAGCAACTGGTATGGCAAATCCGGTTTGATTCGAAAATGCTCCGATTTCTGTTCCACCCAGCAGCTGGGTTGTCTTTTGGGATCTTTTTTAATTCCCCTTACTATTTTGTAGAGAACCATAATAGTAAATAATTTTCAAAGGGCTTAAAGGACAACTTAGGCAGTCGTAGACGAAAGCAGCTTCAACCCGCCCATCGTGAAAGACGAGGAGATCAATTCGGATCTTGAAGCTCAGAAGGACGCTGAAATGGCCCCGATTGTGGTAGTTGGAGTGACTCAGCAGCCGGGTAAGTAAGCTTTACTTTTCCTTGTAGTATAAGGGGAATTACTGTTCCTTGTATAGTATATCTTGTTTGGGCTTGGGGTAGGTATTTCAATAAGAATGTTGTTTGGCACCGCTGGGAAACTGGACATGCAAGGTGATCAGCAAGCCTGACCAGATCGCTATGGACAGCCGCACGAACATTCCGGGCCCGGAGAAACAGGACCAGGTAGAAGCCGATGACACCAACTTCACCAACGAAGCCAATGAAACGAACGAAGGCAATGCGACCAATGAGTATGGCAACGTCTCTGAAGCTATCACCCGCATCTGATTTCGTACCGCCTTAAGGGCTGAACTTGTTCGAGTTGGACGCCGGGGGAGGGGGGTGGCTTCTGACTTGTCGGGGCAGGTTCTCAACAGCCCTAAACCCTTAGAACCCTCAACCCTAAGTCGTAAGCCTCCAACCCCAAAACCAAAACAAACGAAGCCCTAAATCTCAAACCCGAAACCCTACATACCCTAAATTCTAAACCCGAAACTCTAAACCCCAAAGTCCGAAACCCTAAGCCTAAACCCGAAACCCGGTCCAAACCCTAAATCCCAAACCCGAAACTCTACATCCTAAACCCGAAACCCTAAAACCCTAAACTGTAAATCCCAGTCCCTAAACCGTGTGTTTGGGATCCTTCCATTATGTCGTCATTACAATTCTAATTTCAGGGTTTAGGGTTTAGGGTTTAAGGTTTGGTTTATGGGGTTCGGGGTTTAGGGGTTCAGGGTTAAGGGGTGCAGCGTGTAGGGCTCAGGGTGTTAAGTGCTTTTGCTAAGCCAGAGACTTCCAGACCTTATATGACTGATATAGAAGCTTGAACAATATCAAAAATACGTCCGACGTGATTCTGCAGGTTTCCTCATTCTCAGTATAATTACTATAACTACTATAAGGTTCACCTATAATGCTCACCAAAACCCTATCCTAATTGGTAAGGCCGCTGCTTTACATGTCTTGCGTGCAGTATCCAGAAATCTGACACTTGACACGCAAACTCCGTGTGAGTGAGGTCCATGTGCGGGTTTAGGGTTTAGGGTTTAGGTGCGTATTGAAGGCACCCAAAAAGGCAGGCACGGCCAACTACAAGATCTTATCCCGAAAAGAGCGTGTTAAACCTTGCTGAATTTAACCCTGATGCAGCACCCTAAATAAACCCTTAGACCCCGAACCATAAATCCGTAAGAACCATAGCCCCTCCTCGTGGAGCGATGTTGGATTCTCCAAGAAGCTCCTGGTTGCCAGCTGCTGTGATTCTGCACATGGACAGCTTCTCAAGGGTGCTATTGTTACCCTAAACCCTAAACCCCTAAACCCTAAACCGTCCCTGAACCCTAAACCCTAAACCCTAAACCAGCTGCTCCATGCTTGCTTACGGGTGGAAGGGATTCCCGAGGTCGCCTGGTAGCCTTGCGCGGCCTTAAGCGTCCAAAGGACCAGAACAATTTAGGATTTCGGGTCTAGGGTTTAGGGTTGCGCACCCGGAGCTTGACCATGCAATTACGAGGAGTGCCTCCTTGGCATCAACTTATTATAGACGGAAAACCGACGAGCTTCATCGCATCTAGTTCGAATGCCGACAGGGGTCTGGGGTCTCGCGATTGGAACTTCTCGACCGTTTGCAGTCTAGCAGCCTTGCATCACATATTTGTATCAAGGGGTTTAGGGTTTTGGGGTTTTGGTGTTTTGGGTTGACAAACGTTTACGAACAGCCCGGACAAGGGCTACTGGGCGACCTAAGTCCTGATTCAGTGAGTCGGTGAACCATGAAGCCCTGGAGCAAAAAATGTCTCACCGAGCTAATAATTCTCGCGCGTGTAGTTTTCATCCGGATCTGCTTTTTCGACACAGCGCTGCAAAAGAAGCTGTAGCAGCAGGTTTCGGGTTCAGGGATTTTGGCTGCGCCTTAGCCCTAAACCCTTATATAACCCTGACCCCTAAATCCTGGGTCCCCGGAAACGCCAAAGCTTTCTCTGACCTGTTCTGCCCGCCGTCTCGGGAGTTTTGTAGCGACGTGGGATTTTTCAGGGCATGAGTAGTAAAGCACATCACAATCTCGCCCATGCAATACCGGACATGTAAAGCAAACAGAAGTACCAAACAATAGCACTACCAACAGGCGTAGTGCCAGACATAGTCATAACACCCCTCTGAGCGTACGACAACCTCCCGTGATTTTGTTTTTTCGAGACGCTAAACCCTATAAACCCTTTCTGCGCCTTTCTGGGGACAGTGCTGCTCGGCAGTAATGGCTGAACGAAGCCCTAAACTCTAAACCCCGATTTGGGGTTCAGACCCTAGACGGGTTCCGAATCACCTCTCCACTCCTGACTCCGTCCCTTCAAAGATTCCAAGATCACTCCAAGAAGGAGCCTTCTTCGCTAATCCTACGTCAATCGCACAAACAGCGAACGGTTAGTCACAACTTGCAGCATCTGGAGCTCCAAATCCCAGCCCGCGAAGCCCAAGCAGTAGAGTATCAGACTTGATCTGTGAGCCTTTGGAGCCTTCGCCTACGGCGTGCAGCTTTGAAAGCCTAAATCCTGAGCCTTAGAAACCCCAAACCCTCAACCTCACCCTCCCACAGCCCTAAGGTGAAGCATGCGCTGGAGTGGTGCCTTGTGAGTGCCCCAGTTTCGCTGAGTGTGGTCGCTTGTAATTTCGGGGTCTTTGGTGATCAGAATAGGGTCCTGCATTGCCGCTAACAGCACATCCACAGTCGAAGGGCAAGTGCAAGAAGAAATAACAGCTACACCAGGTATCCAGGCTTCTACATTACCCTAAGGGTCCAAGTACCTCGAATCCATATTTGAGGTTGCCAAAACTCAAGAACCACCACGGAAAAGCACA